CAATAAACTGTTGCGAGATTCTGCAGACGGAATTTAAATGAGTCACGCATCGATGGGTATGTTGATTTAGGTGTCACTTTTGAAGTTTCCATCGGCGTAGGAATACGTGTCTAAGTACCTCGATTTGTGTGACGGGAAGAGGACGATAAAGTGGCCTTTGACTTACAGCTGCAAGCGTTATCTGACAGACTCCTCCACGGCAATCGGCGTCTGGAATGGCCGGACTACCTGGTGACTATACAGTCACGATTTTGACTGTTTCTCGATGATAATAGCGAGAGATTTCTAAACTTTGCTGATCAGAGTCGAGTGTTCCTACCCAACACGTGCTTCTATCATTACCACAAACATCTGCCGACCTGGCATTCAGGCAGCGGCCATAAGGCCAGTCAGGCCATAAGGATAGTCAGTTATGGGTTCCGCAGCCGGTTTCATGATAGTACGTCGGTGCGTGGGGCCTAGACTTATAACACTCATGTGTCGGAGCATGTTCCAGTTCGTACACGGTGGAAAGTCCACCTCTCCGTGCCAAAATGTCACGTTCTATACGTCTCGATGCCACAAAATGCCGGCAACCGAGCACTTTCGAGGTCCTAGGTAGAGAAGTCCGTCCCTGTTTTAAGACACGAACCGACAGAGAAAACGGTAGCCAGCGTTCATATCTGAAGACTTCTGTCTATGGAAAAGTTGCGACATTTTTGGATACGCCTAGCGATTTCGCAGTGACTGGATCAGCAAAAGCATGTTGTAGTTGTCTGCTCAGACTGCTTCAACCTAGTGCCTGCCTTCTGCCAACGCTGAAAGATGACTGCCAAGTCAGGTAAGTATGATCGGAAGAAATGTTGGATTGAAATAGCGACTACCATGGAGCAGACTTCAAGCGTTGCTGACACTCGTAAATCACAAAATTATACAGCAAGTTAGTGCTAAGACCTTTGCGATGAGAGGAGCAGCTCTATTGCTGACGTTTTGACTAGGGTCAAGCGATGGCGTAGTGAATTCTAGCACCTCGACTTCGAGGCTCAATCCATTACACTCTCGCTCTCCTTTGCAGTCGAGCTTTATCCCTTCAACTTATGCGGAGCCATGCGAACCCGCCTTTTGAAGAAGTCGTCGATGCCATACAAAGGCTGCGCAAAAACAAGGAAACCAAAGAGGATGGTATACCCACCGAAATCTTCCGACCTTCTATCGCCACTCTGGCATGTTGGATCCATGAAGTGCTTGAACAGACGTCGAGAAGCGAGCTCGTTCCTGATGACTGAGGTTCGCGTATCCTTATGCTTTTCCTCAAGAAGGGAGATAAGAAGAAATGCGAGCAGTACCGCGGCATAAGTGTGATCAAGGTTGTTGCGAAGATCTTCGCTGTTGCCCTTATCGGGTGATTTCAAATCGTGTATAGATCTTAGACGAAGCCTAACAAGCCGGATTCCGCGCCGCGCTTGGATGTGCCGACCGGGTATTTACACATCCTTGAATTCCGCCATAGGTACCAACAACCGGTGGCTGTCTGCTTTGTTGACTTTGCCGCTACATACGGCTACGCTTATCATGAGCCTCTGTGGTGGTTAATGTAACAAGACAGTGTGCCTTTTAAAATCATCGCCATGGTTGGGCCTGCTTATCCATAGCAATTCTTCTCATCCGTTAAGTATTAGGTCTGGTGTTCGACAGGGGTGTATCCTGTCGCCCATTCTGATTTCACCCTCGGAAATGCCCTGCATGCACTTGACGGTGTTGAGTTTCCATCCGGACGCCGACTACCCTGAGGATATCGCTTTGCCAACTGCAAACTTTGGTGATCCGAAATCTACGGTGTCATGGGTGAATGAGGTCGCTAAATCGGTCGCTTTATTTATAAACGCTGAGAAGACTAGTGTTTTCAAGCTTTATCCCAGACCAGCAGAAAGCGCCCCTCGACATTGTTGGCGAGGACGCCATTGTTTCCCAAATCGATGCTGCTTGCCGGGTTTTCTCAAGCCCTAAAAAACGAAGTGTGCTTAATTTACCAACAATTTCTCGTCGACGGAAAATCGATCTCAATACGTATTATAGAACGAATCATTAATAATTTACGACCCCCGTATCAAATGAATGCAGCGTATTATTATGTTTGTTAACCCATTACTTACTTTCCTTAGCAAAAGGGACAATTCGCAGTCTCCAACATGCTTTTGAAATGAGTAAAATTCACTCGATGATATAGATAAAACCTCTTCATTCAGACAGAGAAGAGAGATTAGCATCCGCACGGTGACGTTTTTTAAAAGAATACTTATTATGTACACTTCAAGTAAATATGCTGCATAACGTAGTGCGGTATGCAATATCTCACATGGGCAATCTTCTCGTGCTTGGGAATTTTACCAGAACTCGATGTGATTTTTCACACGTTTTGAGATGTGGTAGAGTAAAGCGAAGAATATTTTTTATTTCGCGGGGAGCAACGTCATTGGGATAAAAACAATTCCACAGGATCACATGTTGAGCAGTCAGTATGTGATTATGAAAGAATACTTGGCAGTTGGATTAAGAGATTTTCTCATTCGTAAAATTACGGTGTGCTTTTTAATCCTTGAACTATCAGAAGTGTTATGTCCCCGTTTGATAGGCAGAAGAAGGCAAAGCCGGTTTTGATAGCAAGTCTTTATTCAGGAAACACAGAGGCAACGGTTTTTTTAGGATGTCCACTCCTGCCTACTTATTAGGCTCTGGTCCTTCTAGAATACTCCTGGTCCAATAGCATGCGACCGTTGTTCTGGCCTACCGCTGATCGATAGTTTGACGCGCTGTGTGAGCGGCCGTTACGCATGCCTTCTAATCGATAGTTCCCCACACTGTGTGAACGGTCGTCGCGTGTGCATGCTGATCGATAGTTCCTCACGACGTATGAACGGTCGTTA